TAATCAGTCGGCCGGCGTTTTAAAACTACAGGGGGCAAATTTTTTACTTGACTTGCCCTTTCAGAAAATATTACTTCTATATAGTTATTTTTTTCATGTTCGATTTTTTTCCCCCAGTCTAAAACTGAAGCTTTCACATTTGTCATTTTCTGGGCTGTATATTTTGTTCAAGCCATTTCTTATGCAAGGACTTGACCTGAACTTTAAATATTAGAAAACAAGAATGTGTTTATGAATTACATTTGTACTGCCCCAGTCGGCCCGACGCTAATGAACCTCGGGTGGCCCGACATAGTAACGTAGTGGCCCACCGAGCGGATGTTAGAAATCACAAACTCAATTCCAATGAGACACGTCGCCAAAACAAATTTAGAGAATGACGTGCACTCTATTTGTGACACAGAGTCTATTTGAGTGACTGAGGAAATATGGTAATTACCACTGCTGGAATGATAAATGCTTGTGGTCCAGATAGAGAGAATTTGAAACAACTAAAACTCTCTAACTCTCTTGGTTGAATCATTCAGGTGGACACCCAGCTTCGGAGCTCCAATCGTAGGCTAGATAACCTTCACGCCCAGCTCCAAGAACTGGACGCTCACATTGTAGTGAAAGGAGGAGATGAGAGTAAAGGTAGGCTGTCCTCACGAATACTCTGCACGCTGTGTCAGTTTTACATCAACTCCAACCTTTCTCATGTCCCAGATGAATGTCCTCAATCTCCTGGGGCGGAGAGCAGAACTTCAGCCCACAAGGAGCGCATTGCTGCCCTGGAGAGGCAGCTCAACATTGAGCTCAAAGTCAAGCAAGGAGTTGAGAACATGATCCCCATCTACGCCAATGGCTCCACCAAGGTACTTTACTAAATATTGTTCAGTCATCCATGTATACTCTGGATGTCTGTACACAAAAATAGGAGCCGTTTACAACCGCTTTCACACGCAGAGAGATTCCACAAAGTAGCCGCAGCAGAAACAAAACAGGAAATTGACCATAGCATTTCACAACAAAGGCGGAATATTGCCATACATAGGGGTAGCGTTTATCCTGCATATCATATATCATTAAAAAGTTTGATTGTGACATTGCAAGCGACATTGTTTTCAACAAGACGGGCAGGTAGAAGTGAGGATCAGCACTCAAGCTCTGCCACACACACACACACACA